CCATTCTCTTTTGGGTTGACTTTTGCCCACGAGGGGATGGGTAACTTCAGGTGTTTGATTTAGAAGTTATATTCTTTGTGTTCTGTATTGTATATTTACTGTATTAAAGTCCCTTTTCATTAAAGTTTTATATGTTTTGTCTTGTAGTGGCGGATGGTAGAACCCACTTAGAGCAGGCAGGTTTTTGGGGCTTCAGGGGTGTCTCTCCCTATCATATAACAGATTTTGTCCTATAACACTTTGACAGAGAGTTAAGTGACAACAGGAACTAGAGCTAGGATATTTTGATCAGTAGGAACAACAGAGCCCCCAGGCAACAGCCCCCAGTTACTCCTCCCTAGCTTGCCCCCTGCAACAATGCATCTCCAGTCCACATCCCCACCACATACATTCCTCCACATACTTGCCCACTTCCCCGAACCTGATCCCCAATAAATGTGAGACTGCCCTTGGAAAGCTGCTGCAGGCCTAAAGTGTGAACCCCTCCAGGCCTCTCTCTCTCTACTTGACCTTTGAGTTGTCTTTCCGCCATCCCATGCCACTCCCAACACTGCCACCCTGTGAAGAGACATATGGCACTTATCTAGTGTAATTATTGGAAGGATTAGATTGCACAATGTACATAAAACCTTATCACAAAGTCTGCCATGTAATAAACTATGGATAGTGCTGATGAGTGAAACTAAGAATAAAAATAAGCACTGAAAAGGATCCATTTGCTCCCACTGTATGCCATAAGGACATACATCCCAATGAATTAGGTTAAAGAGTGGGCTCATTAGGAAGCTAGCCACAGCCACTGTAGCACAAGGGAGGTGACCCACATGGCGCAGCAGACGTCTCCTGTCTCGCCAACTGCTCCCCTCTTGTATTTCAGTAGATCTATTCTGTTCCTACTCTGTCTCTGGTGGGACACCACTCACACACCTCTCACCCCCACACCTCTGGCCTACACTCCAGTTCTAGCATGCATAAATACATCTTCTTTATAAAAAAGAATATATTAAATAATTCAGTAATACTCAACAAAGTCTTAGTGCTTATATCTGTAAATCTGATAGAAATTTCCCTAAAGTTACTTTTCTAAACTATCACTGATAAAATTTTTAAAGATGCCAGATGAAAGACTGACCTATATTTTCATTGTCTTTATTTTTTAAATTTATTTATTTAAGATTTATTTCTTGATGCATACAGAGCTGGGGTACAGGCCAGAGGTACAGGGGCAATGAGAGGCTTCACCAGAGACAGAGTAGAGAGCAGAACAGGCGGATCAGGAGAGGCCTGCCAAGCTATGTGGGTCACCTTCCTGATCAGGAATTGTAATTGTGCTGCAGTGGCTGCTGATAGCTTCATAGTGCTGTGCTTCAACCCATTTTGCCACCATGGAGAGCCCAGCCCCTCTTTCCACTGTCTTTATAGAAATTATTAAAAATTGTTACACAGCCAAATATGTAGAAAACTAATCTACAGAGGATTATAGAACTTTATCAAGTTATTGACAAAAAAGTGACTTAGTTTCTAATATATGTGGGGCAGAGTTTTTAAATGTGCCCTTTTTTTAAAATTTCTTTTCCTAGTCTACATAAATATTCACGTTTGAGTCTAATTTTTGCAGTGCTTGTCTAAAGAGCCCTACCAAACCTTGATTCTCACAATAGCCATCCTAGAAGTTTTGGCAGTTATTTACTGAACAGGTCTAGAAACTGAAACTCATTTAGAATTCAAGGTGAAGTACAGTAAAAGGAACAAGGCATTATACCCTGGGTTGAGACACAGAGCCCAATGTGGGTTTTCCCTTGACCTTCAGAGGTTCTCCTGACTAGACCTCTTCTTAATAATCCTAGGTTTTTAACTTCTGCTCCCATTGCTCCATTTATTTTTTGTTCCCCCGTTGGGAGAACATATGGAAACTGAAACATGATTATTTCCATCAATAAGAAACTGGTAAAACATATTGCAAAACAGACTTACTGAGGTACGAGCTGCTAAAAATATTGTAGGCCTTTAAACACTGATGAAAGACATCTAAGATACCTGGCAAAGTTAAAAAAAAAACTGCATGACAATATATATCATTTTAGCCTGTTATCTTTAAAACGCTGCATTTCATTCATTCTAAGATGAGCCTTCTTTCAAATCTTAAATTAACATCTTTGATCTTTCAGGGCTTAATTTACCTGTCAGGGGTTTTGTTTTTTAAAATAAGATGCATCTTACAATTTGATGACATGATAAAAGTACACACAGCATACCAATCAGGATGGCAGTTTGAAAGCCTTAGGCTGGAAAGCTCTTTGTTTGAGAAGCTCTCTGTTAATGGGAAACCCTAGGTGTTGTGACACATACAGAAATTGGTTACTGTGAACCTGCTTGTTAGGGCTGGTTGGCATGGCAATCAGAGTATTGTCGAGTCAGGCAAGGATGGGGCTAGCGTTCTAACGCCATGGCTTCTCACTTTGAAAGAGATAAAAACCCGAGTGTAAGTAGACTCAGGACCCCTTTGACCTGGTACATACCCAGTGTGAACTGGCTGGAACTCCCTCCCCAAGCGGGCAGCTGGCAGAGGAGACCAAGAGGGAAAAAAAAAAAGGTGTCCCAAGTCGCATCTGCTTTATTTACCATCACATATCCTTTCTTAGCATGAAAACTGTATCGTCTTATCCAAGTTCAGTAAAAATGTTGCCATCTAGGCAGACTGTGAAGCCTGCCGCGCCTGGCAGGGTGGGAGGAGAGCAGGGCAGGGGGCGTGGGTGTCTCCTCTTTCATTGTAAAATATTTAAGTATGTTTGCATACCAAAAGTTTAGAACGAAAATATGCTAAATTAATAGGATTATTTCTCTGGAATGAGATTGGGATTTAAACTTTCGACTCTAGATTTATGTATTTTATAAACCAGTTTTGTGTATCATTTTTATGAGGACAAAGTAAAAACATTCAAGTGGGAAAATACAGGGAATTGTTAATAAGAAATTGGGGGGTGATTGCTTATGTTTTTTCCCTTTTAGGACCAATGTAAACCTCGTCAACTTTTTAGTGTGCATGATTTAGTTTTCCAATACAAAATTTCTTTTTAAGAAATAAAGGAAAATGCCCCAAGCCCAATCTCACTTCTTTAATAATAAATGCCCAAATTCTTCAATATTACATGGGGAAAAGTAGTTTGTAAATTAACTCTAAATGGTTCAGAAGAGTCAGTTAACAAACATTTAGGTAAGAAAAACTGAACACCTACTGTCTGGCCGATAAAACTCTTCAGGATTTCTCGCCTATTAACCTCAGTTGATTTAAAGTTTTTTCTTTTTTTAAATAAATCAAAGATACAGTCAAGAAACAATCACTTTCTATTGTAAAACCCATTCCCTTGAAGGGAAGGGAACGGGGCGATTTAGCGCCTCCCATCACGTGACCCGTGACCGCAGGAAGCCATCTTAAGCCTCGCCTCGGATCGCAAACTACATTTCCCAGAATCCTTGCGCCCTGCGTCGCGCTGGCAATTTTTACTGGTCGGGGCTTAGAGCTGAGCCTGTAGCCGGGCGCCATCTTTGACGCTGGCAGTCTTGGTTTTTCTGCTGGTGTTGCTGCTGTGAGGACGGCGGGCGGCAGCGGCTAAGAAAGAAGAAAGTCGTGGCAGCAAGCGGGAGTCGGGGATAGTGTCCTCGGTTCGGTAAAGTTTCTGTTCTCTGGTAACTAGACCCGTTTTTTGATTCCCGGGTGGCTTGGGCCGGGGAGGTGGGGGGAGAGGGCGAGGGGAGTGGCTGCGGCCTCTCCTCGGCCCTGGGTCGCGGCCTAGTCCCGAAAGTCAGAGCGGGTCGTTCGGCCCAGCCGTAACGACCCCCTCCTGTCCACCCCACCCCTCGCCCGGGCGGGCTGGGAGCCCCAGGCTCCCGCTCCCTGCTCCCATCCGCCCCACCCCCATCCCACTTCACCCGGCCCCCACGGCGCCTGCTCCTCTCCCAGCCAACCTTGCTCCCCTCCCCCACATCCGGTGCTGGCGAACTGAAGGAGCCGTCAGAAAGCCGACTTGTTACCTCCCAGAGCCAGCGCTAGGCTGCTTTCCTCGGGGCTACAGTTTCTCTAGGTTAGCGGGGGGGGGCCCCCACTGCCCGACGAAGCTGAGTGCCAGGAGCTGAATTTACCTACTCTATTCCTCTCCAGGGTCCTCCTCCTCTGGAGATTTTCTCAAACTCCACATACAGAAAGCCTCCGACCTTATGCCGGTATCCTACACCCCTTCCCTACCTTAATTACACTCCCACCCCTGCCCTCCGCATCGGAGTCAAGAGCAACAGGGACACTTCCGTTCTCCTTGTAGGATTGATGAAACCGTAATGAAGAACACCCCCTAAACTCCCATAATCGGTGCGGATTCCTATGGGGAAGGCCCATATTGTTGACATCTTCCAGGCCTTGGTTCTGGACCTTGTGAAGGAGGCTGTGGAACTAGTGATAGCGATGCTTTTTAGGGTAAATGTATGTAGGTATTGGGGGGAGGGGAAAAGATCAACCGAGAAGGTATGGAAGGGGTTTAAAGCTCCTATTTCAGTTTCTGCTGCTCATATAGCGTCCAGCTTATGAGTCACACTCATAAAGCTGCTCCAGCCTTTAGCCTGAAAAGTAAACTTAGATTAACTCTTGATACAGACAGTACATTGAAAATGCAGCTTGTAACCTTTTTTTTTCCATCTTACTCTCGAAGCATTGTTTTTTCAGCTACCCACATTTTAAAAAATTGTATTTACTTTTTAGTTAGAGCCAAAAGGGTCCAAATAGCATTTGCCGTTAATGACCAGTATGTGGAGTCTGATTTAGCTTCCCAGAATTGACGTTTTGGGTTGTATTGGTAAATTATAGTCCGAAATGATGAATGTTGAATGATGCACTATGTTTTTGTTTACATGAAATTTCCTAAAAATAATCTCAGAAGTAAGGGAAATCATGTCGCTATCGTGAGGCTTTATAAAAGTATTTTAAAAGCTGAAGACGTTTCAAGCAGATAAAAGTTCTTGAAGCAGAGAGAACATGGGCCAGGGATGTGGAAGACCTGCCTTCTAGCTGCTATTGACCCTGGGAAAGTGTGCCTTAGTGTTGCTTTTGTATACCATGAGGAGATTGGACTGTTTGAATCTAGAACTCAGAAAGTTGGAAGGGATCTTAAAGCCCTCTGAGAAAGAGTTTGGGAATGTTCTTCATTGCTGTCACTTTTCCTCCAGAAATAACCTGGCTTGGAAGTCATTGGTCCAAAGGGAATTTGAGTCTCCGTAGAAGTTGGAGAACAGTTAATGCTAGTAGAGAGAAACAGCTATATGTCCGCTTGATTAATAAACCCTCTAACCGATTCTGGTACGAATTTTGGAGACATAAAGAGAATGAGTATATGTACCTTAAGTGTACCAGTTTCCTCACTCTCTCCTGGTAGAAGATGCAGCACTTTTAATGGTGCTGGGATTCTGGGGTGTGTTTCTATTAATTCTAGTTCAGATGAAGAAGATGTGGTAGACGGGAAGATGGTGGCAGAAGGGATGGATAGAGAGGCAAAATTGCCTGCTAAAAAAAAGAGAAAGAAGGGATTGCGGATTAAAGGGAAAAGACGACGGAAAAAACTGATCCTTGCAAAAAAATTTAGTAAGGATTTGGGATCTGGAAGGCCGGTTGCAGATGCTCCTGCGTTGTTAACCTCCAGTACGCCTGAGCAGGACGAAGAAAGTCTTTTTGAGAATAATATAGAAAAACAGATTTATCTACCTAGTACCAGAGCCAAGACCTCCATTGTGTGGCACTTCTTCCATGTCGACCCACAGTACACCTGGCGGGCTATTTGTAACCTCTGTGAAAAAAGTGTTAGCAGGGGTAAACCAGGCAGCCATCTTGGGACATCTACTCTTCAACGACATCTGCAGGCCAGGCATTCACCTCACTGGACCAGGGCCAACAAATTTGGAGTTGCTAATGGGGAGGAGGATTTTACTTTGGAGCTACCTTTGTCTCCCTCTTCTGCTGGAAGCAATGGAAGTTTTGAATATATCCCTACTGATTCTTTAGATGATAATAGAGTAGGCAAGAAGCGGGAGAAATCAGTATCTGATGCCTTGAGGGCAGAAAGAGGGAGATTTCTCATCAAAAGTAATATTGTCAAGCATGCCTTAATTCCTGGAACAAGAGCCAAGACATCTGCAGTTTGGAATTTCTTTTATACTGATCCTCAGCACATCTCCAGAGCTGTGTGTAATATATGTAAAAGAAGCGTGAGCCGTGGTAGGCCAGGTTCTCACTTAGGAACTTCAACACTTCAACGACACCTACAGGCCACACATCCCATCCATTGGGCTGTTGCCAATAAAGACAGTGGTACAGGTGGAAATGGATTAGATGAGGCTGAGGCTGAGACTGAGAGAAACGATCTCTTGAGCAATACTTTGCATGGAGAGAAGTCTACAGGCAGCCATGATTTAACAGTTGAGGATCTTAGTGACTCTGAGTCAGATGAACCTCCTGTCTTAGAGATTGAAAGCCGAAGATCTGAGAGTCCTGTTCCTGTTACAGAGCAAGATTCTGTGCTGCAAGCACAGGAGAGAGAAACGTGTGAAAATTCAGTCTCAATTCAAATAAGTCAGGCAATTATTCAGATGATTGTGGAGGATATGCATCCTTACAACTACTTTTCAACCCCAGCTTTTCAGAGGTTTATGCAGATTGTAGCCCCTGACTATAGGTTACCGTCAGAGACTTACTTTTTTACTAAGGCTGTACCTCAGTTGTATGATTGGGTCAGAGAAAAAATCTTCTTGACTTTGGAGAATGTTCAAAGCCAGAAGATTCACCTGACTGTGGACATATGGACCCACGACCCGTCCACTGACTATTTCATTGTGACCGTGCACTGGGTCTCTTTGGAAACTACACCTTCTTTCAGTGATGGCACGTGCCCCAATTTGAGAAAGTGGGCAGTGCTTTGTGTAACAGGTTTGGCCAAAGACTGCTTGGTGACTAATATTTTACAAGAGTTAAATGACCAGATTGGTCTGTGGCTTTCTCCTAATTTCCTCATCCCCCGCTTCATTGTTTCTGACAATTCCTCTAATGTGGTCCATGCAATCAAAGATGGTGGCTTTACCCATGTGCCATGCTTTCTGCATTGTTTAAATATAGTCATTCAGGACTTTTTCTGTGAACACAAAAGCATTGAGAATATGTTAGTGGCTGCTAGGAAAACCTGTCATCATTTTAGTCATTCAGTCAAGGCTCGTCAGATACTGCAAGAATTCCAAAATGATCACCAACTTCCATGGAAGAATTTGAAGCAGGATGAAACTGGCCACTGGATTTCTACTTTTTATATGTTAAAGTGGCTCTTGGAGCATTGCTACTCAGTTCACCATAGTCTTGGTAGAGCTAGTGGGGTTGTGCTAACGTCCCTTCAGTGGACTCTAATGACTTATGTTTGTGATATTCTTAAGCCGTTTGAGGAGGCCACTCAGAGAGTGAGTGTGAAGACCACAGGATTGAATCAGGTGCTACCCCTAATCCATCATCTACTTCTTTCTCTGCAGAAACTCAGAGAAGATTTTCAGGTCAGAGGTATTACTCAGGCACTCAATCTGGTGGACAGTTTATCTCTGAAACTTGAAACTGATACCCTACTAAGTGCCATGCTCAAGTCCAAGCCCTGTATCTTGGCTGCTTTGTTAGATCCTTGCTTTAAAAACAAATTGGAAGACTTTTTCCCTCAAGGTGCTGATTTAGAAACATATAAACAGATCCTTGCAGAAGAAGTTTGTAATTACATGGAATCTTCACCAGAAGTCTGCCATATTGCAACTCCAGAATCTTCTGGTCCCTCAACTATAGTAGGAACTGATTCATTTACCTCATCTATAGGAGAAGGTATCTCCAGTTCAGGGTCTATTGATAGCTCAACTGCAGATATTGTTGCCATTGGAAGCAAAAGCTTCATGTTTCCTTCTGCTATAGCAGTAGTGGATGAATATTTCAAAGAGAAGTACGCAGAGATCTCAGGAGGTGATGACCCTTTGATTTACTGGCAGAGGAAGGTGAGCATATGGCCTGCTTTGACCCAAGTTGCTATTCAGTATCTGAGCTGCCCCATGTGTAGCTGGCAATCTGAGTGTATCTTTACTACAAATAGCCACTTTCATCCAAAGCAGACCGTGAGCCTGGACTTTGACAATATAGAACAGCTGATGTTTCTGAAAATGAACTTGAAAAATGTTAACTATGATTATTCTACATTGGTTCTGAGCTGGGATCCTGACAATGAAGTTGTTCAAAACAACGAAAAAGAAATACTATCTTAATTTCTTTTTCTTTTCTCTATTAAAAACGGGCAGTTTATTGCTGTTACTGTATCCTAATTGCTATAGTTGTTACATATAGTTATACTAATTATTACTTATAAAGTAATCTGAATAAATCTGAAAATGCAGTTGCTGAAAATTCCTCAGAGACAATATAATGTTGACAAAGTGAAGATTAACTTTCAAGACTTCATACTAGTAATTCAATACAGCTGTCACTTGAAGTTTGGTTTATGCCTATTGAGAGAAAAAAAATTATTAAAAAAATATAGTGCAGCATTGAAAGGCTTGAGACTATCTCTTACTGGTTAATGAAATTAGTAATTGGTTTTAAGTAAAGATTTCTCCTAAAGTGGAAAGTTTGCTCTGAAACCAATGTAATTGTGGAAAAAAGCATACTGAGTGGGTATTCCTTTCCCTTTCCCCATTTTTCTATTTCTTTCAAAACCGATTACTATTTACTGCATGGCAAAAACTCAAAATTGTTTTATATTTGGCAATTTCTAATTGCCTCCTCATACTGGTCAGCTTTAAAATTGCACCTTACTGAGTGTCATAGTTACCCTTTACATTTAGGATTGGAGTTATATAAGAGGTAAAACAATCAGGAAAGTTATGTGTAGTTTTTGAACTGCCTTTTTCAACTTTTATAAGAGTGTAAAATCAAAGTATTGTATATGTACTTTTACATAATTTATGGGCAAATGACATAGTAACGTTTACAGATTGAATGGTAGTTGGAATGAGCGTGGGCCCCATGAGCATACTTTAATAAACCAGTATCCATTTCCCAAAAAAAGGTTTCTCTAAGTGATTTTTAGATCTCCTTGAAAATGTATACTGTCTGATCCACACTACTGTATTTACTAATTATGAAATTATTTTGGCCAATATTTTCATGTGTTAGGAATCATTGCCTCACTGGTAAAATGAAAAATTGATCTCAGGGATCTTTAAGGTCCCTTTCCACTCTGAAAGTATATTTTTATGATTGAGTGGGAGGCCAGAAAATGATGACTTTTAGTAAAAGTCTATTAAAAGTTTCAGACTGAATAACTAATATAAGATCCCAATTTTTCCTTTTTTTCATTTTAGATTTGGGGATATTCCCTGCCCAAAAATTTCCTGGAAAATTGACTAGTATTAAGTGTGAGTAAAAGGTGTCCACTTTTTTTTAAGTTTTGATTTTAGTTTTGTCTTGGATAGTATTTGGCAAGATTTAGCCTAGAAATTATGTATTGGGTTGTTGGAAAAGTCATGACGCATTTTTGCAACAGATGGCACTAGATCATTTTTGGAAGTACTAGAGTCATTCGCATCTGTATTACTGCTAGTCAATTGACAGTTCTAGCTTCATTCTAAAAAATATTGAGCGATTGGGTTGAGTTTTGGAAAATTTACAAGTTGGAGATGGAAGGTCAAACTCTGCATTTTCGCCATATTTTACTGTTTTACTTCTGTAAAGGGAAGAATGTACATCAGGCTGGTGAAAAGTTTCATCAAATTTGTGATTGCAATGTTCTGCAATCACATCAGTGCCAACGATCATTCACCAAATTCCATCCTGGTGAGTTTGATCTCAGCGATGCTTCTTGGTCAAGGAAGCCCACCAGGTTTGATGACAACAAAATAAAGGCATTGATGTCAAAACCAGGTTACGTGACGTGAGAGATTGTGGAAACGTTGACTATCATCATTCAAGCACTCGCAACCCCTTGGGAAAAGCTGGGGTACATAAGCAAGCTCTAGGTTCTTCATGAGCTCAAAGAAGTTCATTGAACAGCGCATGTAAACATCTGCCATATGCTCATTGAACAAGAGGAAAATGATCCTTTTTTGAAGCAACTGATTACTGGTGAGAGCTGGATTGTTTACAACAGTGTGGTGTGCAAATGATTCTCATGTGATCGATTGCCTCGAAAGATATCAAAAGCAGACATCAGAGAACGGTTATATTCTCATGTGGGATTTTAAAGATGTCGTGTTTTTTTTGAGTCCTGCCGAGCAAACAAACAATCTGTCAGAACAAATGTCCAGAGCTCATTAACTGAAAAGGAATTGTGTTCCATCATGACAGTGTGAGACCACTGTGATCGTCCATGAACAATTTATAGCAGCTTGGATGTAATGTGTTGCCACATCTACCAAACTCGCCTGATCTTACACCATCAGACTCCCACTGGTTTCACTCTCAGAATTACTTGCATGGTATATAGCACTCTTCAGATGAGGCTGTATTATCAGCACCTTGTTCATAGTTTGCTGATAAAAACATCCTTCTATAAGTGAGGAATTAGGAAGTTCACAGGAAGCTGGCTAAAGGTTAACAAACAAAATGGGCACTATATCACTGATTGATCTTTGTTTTTTAAATAAATGGCCTTTGAAAAACATAGAAAAAATACATCATGACTTTTCCAGCAACCCAATAGTATTTATTACATGAGAATCAAAATTGCTTTGTTACTGGGCTGGTTTCAAAATTTCACTGTATCAAAATAGTTTTTTGTTTTTGTATTTTTTTTTTAATTCTTAAATGGTAAATGTACCATTGTGAACTGAAATTTCAACTCTTAAAGTTTACCCTTTTATTAACTGTAGTATATAGATACTCGTAAAGTCTTTAAGTGTAGTCACCACTAGTAAAGAATTTGCAACTAGGCTGCATAAGCAAGCCTTTGCAGGGCTCATATTGAATGTCATGCCAATCACATTGGTGTTGCTATAAAAAGATTCTTCCCATCTATAGAAGCTTTCTGTATTTTGACAGTGCCAGTTGAGGATGGCTGTAATGCTGCTCTGCCTTCTACAGCTTGCTGCACCACTCTGTAGTTACTCTGTAACTATACGCTTCTAGCTTTTTTGGTTAAACACTCCCTGAAGAGGATAAAGATGATGATATACATACATCCATATTATACACATTAATAAATGTGTAAGGATTTCCCTTCATCTTTATTTTGTGGGCTGGGCAAAAATTTAGTGTGACATTAATGTACTTCATGATACTTTGCTATAAGACTAAGTTCACTATTTTTATAATGAACCAAAATCTAAAGACTTTTATACTGTATTTTAAAAGGGAAAACTTACCAAATGTTTTATTTCTACACATTTGTGTATATGTGTGTGTGTGTGTATAAGCAAGTTAGTATATATGTATATTATATACATAAAACACTATATTTTTACATACAAGTATGCTTTTATTATACATATAATAAAGATGGGGGAAGGTTTCTGTTTTTTTCTTAATAGGTGAAGAAATCTTGAAGACCAGAAATTGGATCTTAATGAATTTTGATGTTCTTTTTCTTTTTCCTTTTCCTTTTTCTTTTTAAATTCTATTGTTCGGCTATGGAAGATGGATTTTTTTTTTAAATAATCCTATGAATCTCAAGTTCATCTTTAAATGAACTTTTTGTTGTTTTTTGGTTTTTTTGTTGTTTTTTGGTTTTGTTTTTTTTGAGGAGATAACTAACTCTAGCTGTCTCCAGTCTGACAAAGGTTATTGGAATGGACTTAATCTCCCAGTAGTTGGGAGAGGTTTTAAAAACACGTCCTGTGTTTGAATTGTGGCTGAGAGGTTTCCTTGGCAATGTGAGGAGGAAAATTCTTTCTGCCTCATTATTATTAATTCATGGATTGAGTGTTGGTTCGACCTACAGGCGTAATAGATTGGAACTCAGTGAAGACACAGACGACCCTGTTGAGAGCAACCAGCTAATGTAAGTGTGAAAATGGGTTTTTTAATGTTCCTGGATCAGTAAAAATTAAAAACATTGTTAAAAGCTTTTTTTTTTTTTTTTCATGTAATTGTTTCAAACTTTTGTTTTTTGGATGATGGCATCCCCTTTGTGTTTTTGTTGTTAACGGGTTTTTTGTTTTTAAGTAACACATGTACGTCATTAAAAAAAAGAAAGTGATTTAGTGAAAACTGACATCTCCCTGTAATTATAGCTCAAAAGTATCATTGATAGTCTAGCACTGCATAGTGTCATGTCCATATACGTACCTCATCTTTACCTTTTATTTTTTTTAAAGGTTTATTTATTTATGCACACAGAACTGGGATATAGGCCAGACGTGGGGGGAGTAAGAGGATCACCATAGACAGAGTGGGGAGCAGAACAGACAGATCCATTGAAATATGCTGCTGAGGGGAGCAGCGGGATAGGTCAGGAGAGGTCTGCCCTACCACCATGTGGGTCACCTCCCCAGCCAGGGATGGAACTTTTGCTGCTGTAGCTTCATAGTGCTGAGACTTAACCCCTCCCCCCGCCAGGGAGCGCCATTACATTTTTTTTAGTGACATTACTTTCCTTTATAGGATGTGCTATGATTTCATTATTTCTCATTAATAGAAATTTGGATTTTTTTTCCATTAAAAACGAAAATACCCAATATCTACTAATAGATATTGTATACTCATCTGTGTGAACTTTCTTCTTTAGAACAAGTTAATTTGTAGAACTGTAATTCTTGAGAGGTTGTACAATTTGCTAAGTAATTAATGTAGCCTTTTGAATTGACACACTTTTTGGTAACAATAATAGTTTTTGATTATGTTGATAAATCTTTAGCTACATAAGTGTTTTTCAATTTATGTAGTCAGATTGTTGGGAGAGGCTATTTTTCACCTTCAGTTTATTAAGAAAAAAGTGTTATACATTTTTCCCAGCAATTGGTTGGTGGTAGTTTTTATATTAAAAATATTATCTGGGGGGCCCTCCCTGGTGGCACAGCGGGTTAAAGCACAGCACTGAGAATCTAACGCCGCTTCCTCATGAGTTCGATTCCCGCCTGCCCCGGAGGTGACCACATGGCGTGGCAGACCTCTCCTGACCCGCCCGCTGCTCCCCTCAGCAGTGTACTTCGTCGATCTGCCTGTTCTGTTCCCCACTCTGTCTCTGGTGAAGCCTCTCACCGCCCCTGAGCCTCTGGCTTGTACCCCAGTTCTGTATGCACAAATAAATAAATCTTTATAAAAAAAAATATTA